TATGTTAAAAAAATTGTCATTACTGGCTCGAATTATTTACGACGCTCGCTTGTCGTCTGCTTGCGTCGACAGACTCCATTTTCACGGGTTATGGCCACATTTTTTGCTCATTTTTTAATATACTATTACTTTCTTCAGTTTGGATGGTGTATTGTATTACATTCAGAGTTCGAAATCCAATCTTGGTGTTTATTATCAAGATGATCCAATAAACGAGGATGATGTAGGTTAGCGTTGAGTTAGGTCCAAAGTGCAACCGCAACCCGCAAGGGTTTATTGTGGCTCACACTAATTCACACTCGACCAAATAAACCCAGCTTCTTGACGAAGCCGAATAGTTTGTATGGTGAGTGGTCTCTCAGGTCAGAAGGTAAGACTACGACTCTGTCGAACTCTTGAAACCTGATTCGGTCCCCAGCGGGGCAGACACAAAGTATGTGCCCTGCTGTTCCATCATTTTTCAAACACAGGCGACACACGTCTTCCGACAGTCCGAGTCTCTGCATATGATGATTCAAATGAGAGTGACCTGTAACAAGGTCTGTTAGACATCGTTGTTCATCCCTAATACTGTAGTCCAACAACTGTTTGGTATCAAGCTTAGTCGGGTGGATAAACGCCTTGGAGTGAGCCATTCCTGTAAGATTCTGGCTAGAAGTCCATAAATCTTCTTGCCATCCAGGTCTTCAATGTTTGTTTGGCAAAGCCTAAAGCGATGCCAATGACAGATTTTAGTCCGATGAAGCGGCTTGCAGCACTCTCTTTTGCAACGGAGTCAGCAGCCTCATTGCCTTCCAGGCCGGTAAGGCCAGGAATCCAGGCCAGAGGCAATCTGGTAAGTTTTCCTACCGAGGAGAGTCGTTTTTGGCAATTTGCTACCAATTTAGACGTTGCTCGGTAGGAGCCAAAAGCTTCCAACGCCGCTTGACTGTCCGAGAATATTTTTATCGACTTGTGTGTGAGTTGGATTCTGCCAATCTCTCCGCACACAATTCATTAGCGTCGACAAACTCCATTATCACGATAATGGCCTCATTTCTCGCTCGTTTTTAATATACTATTACTTTTTTCAGTGCGGATGTTGTATTGCGTTACGTTCAGAGTTCGCAATCCAAAATTGGTGTTTATTATCAAGGTGAACCAATAAACAACAATGATACAGAACCTCTACCCCGTGATTGTCAGGAAGCATATGATAATACGATTTAATACGATTTCAATTCGATCTCTTGTGTGGCAGTAAAAAGAAGGCACTACCTTTGTCAGTCATAGACATTCATTCATACTAGGTTCTAGTCAATACTTTCAACTTTGTTTTTCAAACTGCTGAACACATTATTTGATTCGAGATGGTTAATTTCTATAACGATGCAAAACATCCTGATGCTTTAACCATTTCGCCTTTGATTTGTCGAAAACTCACGACCCGAGAAATGAGATTGACCTAATTTTGTACACATGCTGGTAGGTGGTGCAAGAATCTGAATCTGTCGCGAGTATTTTGTTTAGATCTTGAATTTATGTATCATTGTTTCAGTTAATATAGATTTATTCCAAAATGTAAACCACATTGAAATTGCGTCACTTGAGTTGCGTCATATGAGTTGTATTTAGCATATTTAGCACCCCTATGAATGAAATTCTGAAATTCATTGGGTCCTATTATTAATGCTTTATCAAGAGTTCCGTGGGTCGAAAGTTTCTGTCAGAATATTTTACATGGAGAAGGGGTCCAAGTGATCACACCAAGAATATTTCATTCAAAAGCAGCGGTGATGTTGCTGCCCGGAAACAAATTATGCGCCTGAGGGCAAAAATTAACTTGGACGTAGACAACGCGTACAAAAAATTAAAACATTTGTCAAATCCGCTGAACATGACATCAAAGACAATTCAAATAAATTCTGGGCATATATAAATAACAAAAAAGGTTCTACCAGCATTTCGGACACAATGTCCTACGAAGAACAATTTTTAGATTCTCTTCTAGATATTCTCAATAGCTTTGCAGATTTTTCTCAAAAGCATATATCACCAGCTCTCCAACCGAATTGAGCGATGACCATCCATATTCACAAATCTTGAACATTCATTCGGTACTTCGAAGGAAATGAAGTATTGGCTGCTTTGAAACAGATAAAACCGAAAATGACAACAGGTCCCGACAGCATCCCTGCACTAATTGTCAGAGATTGTGCATATGTTTTGGCTCGTCCTTTGACAATATCAATAAATATCTGCATCAAAACTAGTACCATCCCAGATATATGGAAATCATGTAAAGTTCGGCCAATTTATAAGAAAAGGGGACAAGTTTGATGTCGATAATTATAGACCCATATCAATAATATGCAACATTGTCCAAAGTATTTGAAATCCTCATCTATAGCAGGTTATATCATCATTCAAGCAATCAAATTACACCACTTCAACATGGTTTCATGAAAGGTCGCTCGACAATCACCAACCTGTTCAATGTTATTCAATATATCTCTGAAACCATTGTTGTGGAATTGGCCGCGGTGGTAGTGCCCGACTCACGATCGGAAGACCGTGGGTTCGATTCCTGCCTCGACCAGATATTTTTCTCGAGCGAATTCATCTGGTTGGAGCTGGGATGATCCTGCAACCGTGTTAGGAATCACACGTTAAAAGGTAAGACCTCGTTAGTCCTTAGCTCGCACAAGTTTCACAATTTCTGAAAGTTGTCGTTCGTATGGGGGCGACAGCTGATTAAGGGAATGACAGATTTTAAACAGATTTTTTTAAACAGATTGATAGGAGATCCCAAACTGATGTCATACATACGGACTCCTAGGCGTTTGACAGACTTGATCACGTATACTGCTATCGAAATTGCACAGGTACGGCTTTACTCTGACCCTGATCCAAATTTTTATATCATACTTCACTGACAGTCATCAGTATGTTATATTCAATGGCTTCAAGTCCGTGGAATATGCAGCTACTTCGGGTGTTACACAAGGTAGCAACCTAGGTCCACTTCTCTTTAACGCCTTCATGAAAGACCTAGTTGAGGTATTTGATATCAACTGTAGGATATACGCGGATGACCTGAAATTATATTGTGAGATCAATGGCATCGAGGACTGTCTTCAACGCTCCCTCAATCTGAAACGTGTTGTGCAATGGTGTTTTCGCAATAATCACCCTTTAAATGCGAGTAAATGTAATGTAACGACGTACACACTAAAAAATCGTTCATTTTCATATGAATATTTAATAAACGATATTCCACTTCAACGGCCTCTCACATTCACCGATCTAGGTGTTACCTTCGACACAAAACTTTCCTTCGTACCACACACATTGAAGCCATTCTGTCTGCTGCGAACAGAATGTATAGTTGAAGATACTGAATAATAAATCACAATTCAAAATACAATAGGAAAATTTACTTTACAACAAACCATTCAACAATATACCGGACTATTATGATTATTACTCAATTCTCTTGAGAAGAACGTTTGTGATTCCTGTCATTTTGTCCCGTGAAATTATTTTCCTCCCTACTTCTTCATGTTTGTACAAAGGATATAAAATACTTATGAAAAAAAAAGAAAGTTATCAAATTCAAAATGAATTCTCCGCAAATATGTGTAGATAATACATAATAGTTCCTCTCAGATACAAACTGAAAGAAAGATCCCACTCAAAACAACTACTTTCAATCATATGAAAACTGAAGTACATGAAAGTCCCTCTTTCCCATCCGCTTTTTACTCACAAGTATTCATTACGTTGAAGCAGATATCGTTCACAGTACCAACACAGAACGAATACCAGGCTTGTCTCAATCGTTTTAGACCGAAAAGACTATTTTTAACTGTTGAACCAATGATAGGTCGGCTGGTCCACTTGAAATGAAAAAGTTGGGTTATATTTTCTAAAAAACTCTAAAATATATGTGCCGTTACTAAATACCTAGTGTATATGAAGAACACCACTCCGTCTACTTTGTATTGCTTAGAAGAAGAAAACAGCAAGGACGAACAGGAAGGACGAACTCGTATTGTCTACTGTCGCTAAGACGACATCAATCAATCAATCAAGGAAAAAAGAAACAAATTATCAAAAGTAAGTTAGGGGGTTTGATTTTCTTAAAGTGGCTACGAATTGTATTCTTCAGCCTCAAAGAGTTTTTTAAATAAAAATNCTGGCCTCTGACTATGTTGTTGGCTCTGCTTTCGACTTGCGTTTTTGAATCACCAGTGAGAGCATCCTGGACGTCGTAGGCATATGAGTAGGATGGATTGGGGTCAAATGTAGCGTCGGAAATTTTAGCAAGTACTGGTGGTGCTGGCAACACTGCGGCCGGGGCTCCTATTACACTTCCTCTAGCTAGTGCCACCAGAGCGGTGAGAATGATGAACTAGAAGGTTAAAACACGCTATAGTTAGTTCAGACTTTGATGGTAATTGATTACTCCGATCATATACAGAAAAAAATCAGTTTTATAAATTAAAATGCTGAACATTGTGATATATTCATTCCAGATTTTGGTCCTGAATATATATTAAATAATTTAAATTTTTTGATACTTTTACAATGTTTGTTCGAAATGATATTTTAATTTGATTTCGATTCGATTAATAGCAACGATTCATTCAGAAGAACATTCGAGAAAAACTAATTGGAAGGAAAAGTTATCGATTGCATTCTGTAAGAATTCAGTTTAACTTTGCTTTATTTTTGATAGAGATTTTAATTCATTCGAGTACACTACTTCACTGAAAATATATAATCGCAAAAGAACTACATTTCAGTGAAACGATTAGATCGATCATTTACTGCAAGAGTTTTTCAGCATTGAAATTGCTCGTTCATCTTTAATATTATTTCCACTTACATGTTTCTATATACACAAACTGCTTTTTTATTTGCCAGTATCCTCTGTATGACTTAGAGGTTTTATATATACAAACTGATTTTATGTATTAAGTGAAAATCGATCAATTTAAATGCACTTTGTTTTTACATAAAAGATGTATTATAGATCTGTTTAAAAATCTGTTTAAAATCTGTGTTTCCGTTAAACAGCTGCCGCCCCCATACGGACGACAACTCTCAGAAGTTGAGAAACTTGTGCAAGCTGAGGACTAACGAGGTCTTACCTTTTAACGTGTGATTCCTAACACGGTTAATTAAGATTAAGTCAGGAACCATTTCCATATTATGGAGATGTGAATAGGAAGATGAAACTGTCAAGCATGTCTAATGCGAGTGTCCGTCTTTGCTTACACCAGCCGATATAAAATGGATGTCTCTTAGTGACCTGTCCACCTTCCTGGAAAGGACAGGATGAACGATGACCTAGAAGGACAACTCCTCGTGAGGATGTACAATGGGTCACATGTGACCTAAGTGCTGTGGGCCTACACTCAACCTCCCTACTCTACAGATACAGATGGTATAGATCGTAAAAAACAAACTAATAGAGTTTGTTAATAAGTAGCGACCACAGAAACTGAACAGTTGATGAGAGTATGGGAGGTTGAGATTCTCACTGTTTCTAGTGAAACATCAAGTTGGAATATGTGCAATCAGATAATGAAAGCGAAAATGAAATATTTCTCTCAACGTACAGTAATGCATATGAAATACAAACTCAGTGATACAGATTCTTTTGATTTTCTGATAAAATTACTTCTGAATTAACATTTAATTCTAGAAGCATTAGCTATTACTTACGATACACCCAGCAATAAGCTTAAAACTGTGGATATAATCCTCAACTAACTTTTAAAGGCAGGTAAAAACCGGTCGATGAATTATTAATAATTACAAATTTTTCTATTTGGTCTTAAAATAATTATCTGACAATAAATGATTAAACAATGGCGAGTTGTTCAAATCAATCAGATCTATCATTAGATATCGTTAATTTTTGAATATATCATTTTCTATGTATTTTAAAAAATTAGGTTTCAAATATTTCTTCTGGAAATGAAGAGTTTCGAATTCATGATTGAACTCAAGTCTTTCAAAAGTTCTTCCAGTTCAAGAGAGCTAAATATTTGATCTTCTACAGGTAGCCAAACACATCGGATCTTCAACGAATGACAACCACCAAGGATTGCAGATTTTTTCTCAAAAGCATATATCACCAGCTCTCCAACCGAATTGAGCGATGACCATCCATATTCACAGATCTTGAACATTCATTATTTCGAAGAAAATGAAGTATTGGCTGCTTTGAAACAGATAAAACCGAAAATGACAACAGGTCCCGACAGCATCCCTGCACTGATTGTCAGAAATTTTGCATATGTTTTGGCTCGTCCTTTGACAATATCAATAAATATCTGCATCAAAACTAGTATCATCCCAGATATATGGAAATCATGTAAAGTTCGGCCAATTTATAAAAAAAGGGGACAAGTTTGATGTCGATAATCATAGACCCATTTCAATAATATGCAACTTTGCCAAAGTGTTTGAAATCCTCATCTATAGCAGGTTATATCCACATTCGAGCAATCAAATTACACCACTTCAACATGGTTTTATGAAAGGTCGCTTGACAATCACCAACCTTCTCAATGTTACCTAATATATCTCTGAAACCATTGTTGTGGAATTGGCCGCGGCGGTAGTGCGCCCGACTCACGATCGGCAGATCGTGGGTTCGATTCCTGCCTCGACCAGATATTTTTCTCGAGAGAATTTATCTGGTTGAAGCTGGGATGATTCTGCAACCGTGTTAGGAATCACACGTTAAAAGGTAAGACCTCGTTATTCCTTTGTTCGCACAAGTTTCTCAACTTTGTGGTTCATATGGGGGCGACAGCTGATTAACGGAATAACAGATTTTGAATAGATTTTATTTTTAACAGATTGATAGGAGATCCCAAACTGATGTCATACATACGGACTCCTAGGTATTTGACAGATTTGATCACGTATTACTGTTATTGATATTGTACAGGTACGGCTTTACTCTGACCCTGATCTAAATTTTTATGTCATACTTCGCTGACAGTCGTCAGTATGTTATATTCAATGGCTTCAAGTCCGTGGAATATGCAGCTACCTCGGGTGTTCCACAAGGAACAACCTAGGTCCACTTCTCTTTAACGCCTTCATAAAAGACCTAGTTGAGGTATTTGATATCAACTGTAGGATATACGCGGATTATATTGTGAGATCAATGGCATCAAGGACTGTCTTCAATTCTCCTTCAATCTGAAACGTGTTGTGCAATGGTGTTTCCGCGAGTAAATGTAATGTAATGACGTACACACTAAAAAATCGTCCATTTTCATATCAATATTCAATAAACGATATTCCACTTTAACGTCCTCTCACATTCACCGATCTAGGTGATACCTTCGACACAGTACTTTCCTTCGTACCACACATTGAAGCCATTCTGTCTGCTGCGAACAGAATGTATGGATTTATTGGACGAATCTCCAGAGATTTCGCGGATCCATCTACATCGAAAACCTTATACTATGCTTGCTTCAGATTAAAATTAGAATATGCATCCATAATCTGGAATCTCATCAGTTGTATTCAGAGAAAGTTGAATCAGTACAACGTCGTTTCCTAAAATTTCTCTACTAAAGATCAGACAATATCTATACACCGAATGTATTTCCCCATGATGCATTGTTAGCTAGACAAGCTATGATAGCATGAGTTACCGTCGTGATTGTCACTCCACAATTTTTCTTTTCAAACTGATTAATGATTTAATTATTGACCCACATATTCTGCAAAAACTGAATTTCAATGTACTTAGACCGACCTCTAGAGTGGTTAATTCTTTTTATCTGCCAACACTACGTACAGGTATTCTGAAACGTTCACATCTGCATAACATGTGTGTCAAATTCAATTCTGAGATTAGGTCTTTTTTTTCATCGTATAACTTATTGTAATTGTATTGTATTGTGATTTGACTTATATCCCTGTTTGTAGTTGGGTGTAACCTGTAGAACAGTGCATGAATAAATAAATGAATTTCTAATGATTATTTCAGAGTACAGAGAAGATGGTGTTTACCAAATCCAACTCGATGAATTCCCTAAAATGATGGTTGTTTGTGACATGACCTCATACGGCGGCGGATGGACTGTTGTACAAAAACGCTTTGATGGATCTCAGGATTTCTTCCGGGAATGGAGAGAATATAAATTTGGTTTTGGCGACCTTGGCAGAGAATTCTGGCTAGGACTGGAATACATCCATGCTCTGACAAGTAAGTAATTCAGAGATTACATTCGGTTCAAAGAGAAATTAATTTCAAAAATAGGAAATATGAGCAAATTTAGGATTCATGCATTTATCGAAAAGAACGAAGACTTCCTTGACATAGGCATGTTCCCAGCGAGGTACGATCAGAAGAACAACAATTGTTTTTCCAGGCGTCACTCATGCAGAAATGTTATTATTTATTTTACCTATGGCGCTGGTCAGGCCCTATTCCCCGAAGGCCCGATACATTCAGGAAGGCGCGTCAGCATTATCAACTAACGACCACTCCCCACGCCGTGTGATAAGTGATCATTGGGAAATCATACCCGAAACTTCACGCCCCTGCGGTCAGCAACTACTGAGGAAATCAACAAAAGTAATCTCAATAGCAACACAATCAACGAATAAAGTGTTCAAAATGACCTCCATCTAGTTCCATACAATAATACAGTCTTCTTTCGAAAGAGTTCCTTACATTATTGAAAATGTCTGGAGTCAGAAATCGGCATTCCCGAACAATTTTCTGTCGCAGATCTTCTAGATTTGTAGAATTCATTTCATTGGTAGTAAACGTTTCGAAATGGACGACACTGTTAGTTATTTCTGCACTGGTACTTTTTGTTGAATCTATTTTTCGCAGAACAAAAAGTAGAGAGTTGACCACTGTCACTTCTTCACGAATTATTATTCAGTCATCCTTGTTTACTGTGTTCCAACATGGTTAATTCTGCTGAAGAAAGAATAGAAATTGTTGTAACCTGTTATCGAAATAATGAATGTGCTAAAGCTTCTGCAAGAATTTATAATACGAATCATCCAGACCACTACGTGAATCATCAATAAGTCAAATAGTTAATGGATAAGTTCTTTAGGTTTTGTTCACAACAGAAAACATGAAGTATCCCGTCCTGTCAGAAATAACAGAGTTGAAGTTACAGTTTTAGGACATGTACAAATGGATAATCGACAATATATCAAACAAGTAGCTAGAGCTACTAGTGTTTTTCGGATTTTGAAAGCCTACAAATTCCATCCTTTCAAAATAAGGCTAGGATTCAGGATTCAACCGATGATGATCCTGATCGTCGACTTTTGTGGGGTGTTAAGCGAGGAATTGACCAATAACTCAAACCTATTATACAATACATGTTTTTCATACGGAAGTTCTTTCATGTTGAGTGTTGAAGTAAATAGACACAAGTGTCGTTACTGGAGCAATGTGACTTCCCATTTGGTGATGGAAACACATTCACAAACTCCACAAAAAAGGAATATCTGGGCCGGCATATTGTTGGATCATTCTTCATTGAAGCTAATCTCAATGGAGACACATATTTGAATCTACTATAAGACTGTGTAAATCGTATGATTGAACAAATTTTAGAAAATGATGACAATTGAGTCGAAAATGGAATAACATTCCAGCAAGATCGTGCAACCACACATTTTGATGTTCGGGTGAGACGGTTTTTAGACGAACGTTTTCCAATGCGTTTGATTGGCAGAAGAGGTCCAGTGGAGTGGCCAGCTAGAGCACTTGATCTCACAACGATGGACTTCTTTCTGTGGGGACACCTGAAGTCGAAAGTGTACTCTACTAAGCCTACAAATCTAGAAGACCTGCGACAGACTATTATTCGGGAAGGTCGATTGCTGACTCCGGACATCTTGAATAATGTACGGAACACTTTCGAGGGTCGACTGTATTATTGTATGGAACTAGGTGGAGGTCATTTTGAACAATTTATCCGTTGATTCTGTTTCCACTGATATTATTTGTTGTTGATTTCCTCATTAAAATGAACGACAGCGAATTTTCTGTTGAATAAAACGTTCAAAACGTTAATTTCTCAATAACGAATTGACCAAGTTCGAAAAACAATCACAGAGGTGATAGAGGGACAAAAGACCTTTCAAATGATGTATCACTTGACCCCCCATGCCATTGAAAATAATAGGGGGATAGTTGCTGACCGCAAGGGGTGAAGTTTCGGGTATGATTTTTATACGTGTTCTTTGAAATTTTCGATTGCACGTCCATTTCTGACTCACAGGAGGATCAAGTTTTCATTGTTACGCCCTGTATAGCTGATTTTTCATCTGATAATGCATGCTCCCGGTATCTCATGTTGAAGTTTCTACCTGTCTGGCTTGTATAAGCTGCTGGACGGTCACCACATTCTAGTCTATATATAGCCGAATTTTTCCATAGATAGACTAGAATGTAGTGACAATTCAGCAGCTTATATGCAGGCTAGATAGGTAGAAATTTCAACATAAGATACCGGTTGCATGTATTTTCAAATTGAAAGTAGAACTATTTAGGTAAAGGTTTGTGAATCGATAGATTACAATATGTTTTCGGGCCAAACTGTTTCTCAAATATCAAAATGCAATCAATCAAGGTTCACTGTGGGTGTGAAGCTAAATGTGGAATATACTGTATTTCCCATCTATTTAGCTGCAATCGCTTGAAGAAAGTCATTATTTATACGTATCATTTTGTTTTCACTTATAGAACCGGAAGGGCAGCTTCTTGTAGAGCTAGTAACCGTAGGAGGGACCAAAGCAACAGGTAATTACCAAACTTTTGGAATTGGACCTGAAACCGGTGGTTATGAGCTGACTAACTTAGACGGTTATACTGGAAATATTGGGGACTCTTTATCTTATCATAAGGGCCACAAGTTCTCTACCAAGGATTCCGATCTAGACAGTAGTTTTGAAAATTGCGCTGAAAAATACTGTGAGTAGTATGTGTGATTGATGACTTGTTTGTTTTGTAGTAATGCATAATCCCTTTAATAAAATGAATGAAAACACTTTTGTCTAATTACCACTAGTTAATTTTATTTATACGACCGGTTTTAGGTTTGATCCCATTATCAAGTATGAAACTTAAAAGTGAAATTTGAAAACTCGGTTATGTCGGAACTTTTTGGTTAGGATGGAAGGACAAGTATCTAGTTAAACAAACCAGGGTGCCAACTTTGAAATTCAACACTAAAATTCAAATGTACAGGCCAAACCGTTAGAAATTTTGACGTAATGCTCCGTAAACACGTCTGTATGGGCAAAAAATCTGAAATGTCTGAACATCTTCAAGAATTAAAACACAAGATAAGTAAAGATAACCTCAAAATCCTACACATATTTGACAGAGAAAATAAAATTAATTTGTTGGAAGACATGGAAATTAACAAATCAATTAAAAACCAGAAATATATACCTCTAAACGAGCAACTGGATTCATGTAGATCTCCACTCTTGAATTTATAAGTTTAACAACCCCTATAATCTTCAGTGTTGAATTTTAAAGTTGGCGCCCTGGTTCGTTTAGCTACCTGTCCTTCCATCCTACCTAAAAACTCCCGATATAACCGAGTTTCCAAATTTCACATTTTAGTTTTATACTTGATAATGGGGTTGAACCCGAAACCGGTCGTATAATAAAATACACTAGTGGTGTTTAGACAAAAGTGTTTTTATTCATTTCATTAAAATAATACTGTGAGTGTTTTTTTATTATTAAAGAAAGTTACTCCGCGAACAACTCCCATTACAAATAATTCATCAGTAATTTATTACGTGGTTTGAGAAAAATCATATCTTGATAGCGTCATTCTATTAAGTGGAAATAAGTGGAAACGAATGGAAATATTTGGCGGAGTTAGAAGAAATTGAAAATATTCAGGAACTGCGAAAAGTAAACTGGAATATTTTTCAGATATATAATGTCAGAGACAGGTCTTCTATGTAAAAATGTGTTGATATTCATATTTTTTTTGTCATCATATTATTACATTTTTCTCGTGGGTTCGACAGTAAATTGACAACATCGAACAAATAAACTAAACTTCATTTAACTACTACACTGTCAATGGTACTGCACTGCACTGCACTATGGTAAGTAAACGGACTCCCCTACGTCGTGGCAACTCTTATATATCTCGATGGAAGTCTTTGGAGACCGTGGAACAATTCTCGAACTGACGCAGCATTCTAGAAAGATCGAGAGAGAGAGAAAGAAAGTGAGGGCTGAGATGACCTTGACCAAGTCGCAGTGGATCGAGTAGATCTCTGCATAAATTCGTTCGGGAAGAAACATTTCCGTGGATGGAAATTTGAATATACTGGAAAATGTACTTGACAAATATTAATTTAACGTTCCGTCGTATTTTTAACAATGGGGTTTTAATGGCATGATAATCTACATACTCGACGAAGATGAGTTCACAAACGCAGTCTTGTTTTCTCAAACGAACCAAACTCGGCAAGATCTCGATCCAATGATTTAAACAAAGTTCAATGAGGTTATCATCTGTCGGAATATATACTCAGATCGTAATACTCAATGCATTTCTGAAGTTTTCTTACAGGGTGCTATGGTTTCTAAATTAATGTTCAACCATATCCCGTTTTTATTCATCGGAAAGTATCATTTCAATTAACAAACTGCGTTAGAAAATGTCTCTTGAATGTGACATTAAAAAATCAGCGCCTACTACTGCAATCATCAATAATTCAGAATTAAGTGAAGATAACTTGAAAAGGTACAAAAAAAAGTTTTCGAAAACTGATGAAATCAGATATGGCACTCACAAAAAAATGAATGTGAAATTCTTTTTTGTGTTTTTTCACTATTTAGATATTCCATCACTTTCAACTTCTCGTTTCTCACAAGTCGTCAAATCCACTTCAATTTTTGATACATTTCAGATGGAGCTTGGTGGTATAATGGATGTCTCCAAAGTAACCCGAATGGAAAGTTTATCAATATGGTAAGTCCTCCCTATCATAAAGAAGCCGGTTTGTACTGGAAGACCTTTGGAGACGGAGTAATGGCCGAATCAAGATTACTGGTGAAAACGAAAACTTACAGAAGCAATTAAAATTCAATTCTACATTATAGTTGCATAAACATCTGCCTTGTTTACGATATTTCAAGTGTATAACCCTATGTATGTACATTTGAATAAATAATTCAAATTTTGAATCTTCATGTATTCATTTCACTAGAACAAATTGTATGGTTCGACAGATTGTATAACAATTTTCATTTTCTCAAAAGATAATCATGCATCCATCAATTTCAACTTTGTCTCCTTCAAAGTACTCCTCCTCAGATATTTTACACTTGTGCTAGCGTTTTTTTCAATCCAATCCAGTTCTGATATGCACTCTTTGGTATCTTATTGACAAAGCTTGGTTAAAATAATCAAAAAACAAAATTACACATATTAGCGATTGCTACTCAGTCATGTAAAACTATCACTTTAAAATAATATACATTGCTAGTGTGTTGAATAGAATTTCCAAGTAGATACTGAATATATGTATATGTCGCAGCCAAATGGTTAAAATAGCCGTTCAATTAAACACCTAGCTCTTTGACTGAATTACGCCATTCAATCACAAGGCTAGCTTTTCAATTGAATATTTGTGGCGCTAAAAACGTTCAACACTACAGCGATTCAAAAGCCGCCGTCTCATTGAGCTAGAAGAAAATGTCAAACCAATTTTCCACAAACATCATCCGGTTCCATTTGCTTTTCTGGGAAAGGTGAAGACAGAATTGAAAAAAATAGAAAAAGAAGGTGTAATTGAGAAAGTGGACAATTCTAATTGGGGAACGCCATTGGTAATTATGAAGGCAAATGGTAAATACATTAGGATTTGTGCCAATTACAAAATGACGATAAACAAATATCTTGAAGATTTTAATCACCCCTTACCCAGAATAGATGAAATTTTTGTGGCTTTACAAGTCACCTCAGTTAATTTGCCATTTAACCAGTTGGTTAAGCGTCGTCTAGCTGTAGTGTTGAACATTGCAGTCAACAAATCGGCTAAACGACGTTTAGCCCGCTGATCGAAAGGCGGTGTTCAGTCAAAGGGCTAGCTGTTTGATTGAACGGCTATTTTAACCAGTTGGCTGCGACATATACACAACAAAAAAAGAACCGAAAAAGATAACAAACACAGTTTATATTTACATAGCACAATACAACATTTCATGATAATATAGCCAATAAGAATGTATTTTAAAAATTTTCAATACCTATTGATTACTTGAAATGTATTGAGAGTCAGACATAAGTCGAATCAAGAAGTATTTTGAAAGTATTTTGAAACCCAATTTTGATGTATCACTATGGTGTATCACCTTAATCAATTTTACGATTTGCCTTATCTATTATTTGACAATATGTCCTTATGTAGTGTTTAAATGTTATAGCTATATATAAAACAATTTTCAGCTATATGAAAAATTAATTTCACAATATTGCCTATCTAAATTCACTTTTTCAATGTGTCCTTATGTAGTAATCAGTAAATCCAATAATATTATTTTAACAAGCTATATATGCTATTTGGTATTGGTCCGTCATCGTTATTCATAATATTATTATGTTTACTCATTTCTTCTACACTCTCATAGTTGCCTGCTGTTGTTAACTTAATGATCTGAATGAAGTCTATGCAATGGTTTTGAGGCAAAATATGATGGGCGACTACTGATTTTTCAGGGGAAAAACTCCAGTAATATTCAAACTTATTGATAATAAATGACGATGAGAATAAAGCATTTCCAAACTCATGTACCTTCTTTGAACACATTTAGTGACATGTTTTGTAAACCACAGAAACTAGATCACAAGTGTATACGCAAAATAATAAGGGTCCAAATGTAGATCCCAGAGGCACTGCAAATTTAATAAATTCACTGCTTGATTTTCCCTTCGAAGTTTCTACAAACTGTTAACGATCTTTAAAATAGCCTTTAGGATCACCAGGTGCGACCCTGGGAAGCTGGCGCCGAAGAAATATCTGGCGATGACCAAGAAAAATCTACACTTAACAGTAGGATTTCTGACTGGCTACTGTCAACTAAGGAAACATCTCCATAATATGGGGCTAGTGGAGACACCTCTATGCAAGATATGTGAACAGGAAGATGAAACTGTCAGGCATGCCACTACTTTTCTTGATTTATATTAATGACCTGTCCAATTCAATGACAATGTTTACAATGCTATTTGCCAATGACACTTCCTTCGCCATTCCCAAAAAAAATATTGAAGAGTCATCAGAATAAGAAAAGCGAGTTATTCAAGAAGCTACGGACTGGTTTAATGCGAATAGCCTATGTGTGAATAAAAGCAAGACACAAACAGTTATGTTCTTGCTGTCCCATAATCTCTCAAATAATGTGAAATGTCTTGGTATAACTATTGATTCAAAGGTAACTTAGAAACCCCATATTGACAAACTAGCAAAAAATCTATCATGCAAGGTATATGCAATCAGGCAAATAAAGAATAAAGTCGGTAAAGGCGAGCTGTAAACTGGCTGCCATGATCCTGAAGGACTCTTTTCGGCATTCCATTTTTAGGGAAGTAATCTTGAATTAAACGATTCAAAATAGATTTAGTAGTAGCCCGTTTTAAAGCAAAAAGAGCCACATGCTTAGTGAAAAGGTTTACCACTACCAATAGGTATGTAACATCACCTCTACTCTTAATTAGAGGTCCATACAAATCTAGTGCTATAATGTCATCTTTGGAAGAAGGCACTATAGGTTGTTGAGGGGGCCTAGGCATCTCCGCACTTTTAGCGCGTTGACAAATATCACAAGACTTACAAATGTTCTTCACCCTTCTGTGCAAATTATTAAACCACAGTTCCCTTCTCAAAGCGCACCAGGTCTTATAAACCCCATAGTGCCCTATGGCTTCATGATAG